CCACGGCAGGCCAGGCGGCTCCGAAGACCGTCAGGCCCAGCTTCTCGAGAGCATAGAAGAACCATCCGCCATCCTTGGTCAGCCAGCCCGTCTCGGCGTGGGTGGAGAAGGCGCTCCCAAGGCTGTCAAGCTTCTCGTAGGCGACCCCGCCCATACCACTCAGGCGCCAGGCCCAGGTGCCCTCACGTAGTGGCTTCAATCCCAACGCCCAGACACCCCAGCCGCCCACCCAAGACTCCTCGCTGCCTGGGTCCTTGGTGGGGTAGCTGCCATTCTCGACTCCTCTGGCGGCCTGGGCTGGGGGCGGGGGCGGCGCTCCCGGCGGCCCACTGTCGGGCGGCGCCTGGGGGCTGCCTGCATCCCCGCCCTCCTCCTCGTGCTCGCCGATCTCCATGCCGTACTCGGAGTCGTCGTAGTACGGCACGGTGTACCCGAACGGGGCCTCCTGGGCCGCAGCCGGGTGGCCCCAACCGGCGCGGGCAACAGCGGAGCTGAGCGGCCCGCGCCAGTCGTAGGCGGCCGCGCTGGTGATCAGCGCGGCCAGCCCGCGTGCCGGGCCTGCCAGCGCTGGGCGCCGGGCAGCCATGGCACGCACGCTTCCGGGCGCCGCGGGCGCCCAGACCTCCTGAGGTCGGCTCCAGGGCTTTGAGCCCCGAAGGCTTGAGCGGGAGAGAGGGAGAGGGAAGGGCAAGCAGAGGCAGGGGCAGGGAGAGGAGAAACCCAAGCCGACTGGGGAGGGCGGGGTCCAACCGTTTAGGACAAACAACTAAAAACCAGGGGCACCCTGGAAGCAAGCAAGCTGTTTCTTGGCATGGGTGTGCACTGTACGGGTACCTTTTTGAGCAGGGGGCGACCGTCTCGGCATTCCTATAGTCCTACCACGAAATGTTCTTAGAACCCAAAAATGTTCTAATAACAAAAGCAATTTCCTTAGAACATAAACCCGATGTGATACAGCAAGACAGTCCCAACCAGAAATGTTCTAAGGACATTTCGTGGGAACCACAAAGGCGCCAGGACGCTTCACCACTGCTTGAACCTTTCCCTCCTTTGAGGTCGAGTGTTAAGTCGGGCGATGTACCTGGAGTGCGGGCGATTCGGCAAAGGTCGGGTCGTCCCTCCAACGCTCACGTGGGATGCTACGACTACTTGAGCTGGAACGCTTGCGGCCATGCGGCTCCCGTCGCTCTCGGTCACGACCTCTCCCGCGATCATCGACGGCGTCGTTCATCATGTGGCAGTTGCTGCTGTGGCGTTTCATGCGGTGCTCGTGCTCGAGGTCAGCCCACCTTTTCTGGGCCGTGGTGATGCCAACGTCCTTCATGGGCTTCCGATAAGCTGCAAGGTGAGCTGAGCCGCCGCACCGGTCACAGCGGTCGTGATCCCGCGGGGTCGCCATGTGATGTGGCGATCGTGACGGCCTGTCGAATGGGCAGTCGGGCCTGTGGCTCTGATAGTGCAGCCGCAGAGTATGTGTTTTGCCCTGTCCGCTACCAAATCCCGCTTGGCCTTCCGCATGCCACTGTTCTCACTGCGGCTGTAGCGGGTGCCTAGGGCCTCGGATGATGTGGCCATCGCCGTCGCGAGCCAACTGTTCTTTGGAGCGCCAGTTGCTGAGATCCTGCTCGCTCCATCCGCTGGATCGGTGCCGACGCATGTCGTCGTCGGGGCAACTGCTCGGCCTCGGACGTCGCGATACTTGCCTTTGCCATGGCCTGGGTGTGGTCGTCTGTAGAGCCTGCCCACTGTGCCCCAGACATGAATTGACTACCTACCAGACCACCCCAACCCAACCCGAAGACCCGAACTTGACCCGAATCTCGGGTTGGGGGGGTACGGATACCATGTGTTTTTTTCAACGTTCCCCGACCCCCCCCCACTGGAAATCGAGGATAAATTTGGGCCTCCGGGTTGGGTTGGGGTGTTAGGAGGCAACTACTGGGAGGTCTTCGTCGGAAAGATTTAGGAGGATTAAGCCCCATTGGGGGGCTGTTACGCCGGAGTGGGCCTCGGATTAAGCGGGATTAAGCCAAATTAAGCAGGATTAAGCGTAATTAAGCCAGATTAAACGGGATTGAACCGGATTAAGCCGGATTTCGGACCAGGGGAAAAACAGAATTTGACCTCCCAGGAATTGCATCCGAAGGGGTGGTTTGGTGGGTGGTGATGAGTGTAGCAGTGACGGAGATGTCCCAGCCGATGGCTCGCAGTTCCCCGGAGTGAGGCCGAGGATCGTCGGGGCCGGGCCCGTGGCCCGGCACGTAGGTCGTCATCTCGCTGCTCGGCGCGTGCCCGTGCAAATGGGCTGGCGGCTCGTCCTGAGTGGCTGGGGTAGTCTCGGCAAGAACGGCTTTTTGAAGCCAGATCTGCCCTCAAAAAACCGTTCTTACACCATTGTTTGAAGGCAGATCTGCCTTCAAAAAACCGTCCACGAACTCCGTGTCGTTGTCCTCCAGTGCGGCATGGGGATGCCCAGCCGTTTCTGGAGAAGGGCGGCTTCCTCCACGCAGCCGTGCAGCTCGTCGGAGAGGTCGTTGGCGTGCTGCTCGATTCCCTCGGATCGTGCAGCGAAGCGAGCCATCAAGAACCAAGTCGTGGACGATGCCACCGTTGGTGAGTCGAAATGAGAGAAACCGACGTGTTCGATCTTGTCCTCAGTAAGTTCTGAGCCGAGAAATATGGAATCGCCCCGCTTCACCTTGCCTTTTCGAGTACTGGGTATGGAATGTGTTAGTGCTACCACAGGTGTTGAACTTCATGCGGCTCGCATTTCGATTCCAAGGGAATTCGCTTTTCGTCCCTTGCCTGTTGCTAAAATGTTTCGGCGCCCCTTAAGTACCTGTTCCTTTAACAGCAAATGCTTCTTCACATGGGAAGTCAGTACGATGACAGGAACATAGCAACACCACGACCATGCAATCTCCTCTGTCTCTTACCCGTGCCACGTCCCTTCCCCGCGTTGTGGCGTACCCTCTGCACTGTACGCCTAATGGTTCTGCTAGGCTTCTGGACGAATCACCTCCAACGACGCTCAGCATGTTCATACCAAAGAAATAAATATTTGACAATCTGCTTGTCAGTGACATGTCCTGGTACGTCTGTCCGGCACATCTTCACCGCCTATTGCTAAAACGGTGCCAGACTTGGGGCCAGAGTCGAAGAAGGGCGAAGCGGGTTGTCCAGCCTCCCTCCACAGGGTGGCTGCTGGATTTGACGGTGGAGTGCAGGCCTCTCGTGGCAGTTGTGATCCAATGGAGCCACTTGTTAATGCGACGCCAACTTCCTGGCCGAATAGTGCTGTACCTGTTGACTGGTCTGTGTCCCCCCAGACGTTGCTATTTGCAGGTGTCCACGCACCGGCTTGGGCGTTGCCGGCGCGAGCGTAGAATGTGCCTGCATAGTTTCCTCTTCAATTGAAGACGCCTCCGAGATTACCTGAAGCGATTTCAGCTACGTGTCCATGGCTGCGCATGCGCTCAAGTAGTTGATCGTGCTGTTGGTGGTTACGGGGCATCTGGTGGTTGAGCGGCTGTACGAGCTGTGAGGCCCTGGAGGTGCCGACTCGTAGGGCCCGAAATAGGGTGATCGTCGGGATCTGGAAGTTGGGAATGGTGAAGCCGGCCTGCCTGGGTCAGTCCCCGCGCTCAACGCGGAAGTCGATGAGTGCCATGCCAGACATCAAGTGTCGTTCGTCCTCTACTTGTTCAAACTTTGAGATGGGGAGGAACAAGGTGTAGGTTACTCCGTCGGCGCGTTGACCTTGGATGGTCACTCCAGAACTGATGATGTGAGACGGCACCCTCATCGCAATTGCCCTCGCAAGGCCATTCAAGCCGCGCTGTAATGCGGCGGCTTGTTGAGATGGTGTATCATACCGCTGGTAACGTTAAACCCTAAGCGAACTTCGAAGACGAAATCGCGACACGGTGTAATACCTGCAGGGCCCTAAGAGGGACCTCGGGTACGAGTATCATCCCATCCTCGTTGCATGTTCCGAACACCACGGCCCACGAATATTATATGATGCCAAAGGTGAGCTGGATGTAGTGCACGGTGGGATCTTTGTCATTGATGTGATGGTCTTGTTTTTCTGGGGCTGACGTGGCCGTCAATTTTCGGATAGGTGTCGTCGCGTAATGAAACTTGTTGCCAAGTGGCTGTTGGTGGTGAATGGGAGCGTACTGGCGTGTAGCCGTGGCGTACTCGTAGTGGTCGACGTGGCCGTCGACTGGTGTATCGTTACAGGCGAGCCAGTGGCCTGGCTCCATTATGTGAAGGAACGTGGGCGAAGTAGGAACCACCATGCTACTAGTCCTTAGAAGCAGAGCCAACCACACGGTAGTGGGGCCAGCTCCGCTACCAAGTCGAAAGTGGCATGGCAAGGCGCAGTACAAAGAGCGTCTTAGACGTTCCCCGTATCCCAGTTGCGATGCATGGCTAACAAGGGACAGCGAGAAGGGGCATGGGACAGTATATGTGGGAGACGGCATGATAACATACGATGTACCTGTGTCTCACGCGATGGTTACCAGAGTAATACTTAGGCAAATACTGCAGCGCGCCGCTGTGAGCCACAATGGCGACGGTTAGCTCGCTTTGCTCGCCTTTGACCTCCGTTCGAAATAATTGTCCTAATGCCGAGTACGATGGGGAACTATCATTACATCGCGAGCGGATAGCGTGCCACTCCGCTTCGCGGGGCGGGAGGCTTCGGAAAACTCGAGGCGTTGACGCTCGGGGACCAGGATGTGGTTCGCTTATCGCGCCGAAGCGTGGTGGGCCAGAACCGGCTGTTAAAGATCACCGTCTTCACTGCCCTTGGGAAATAAGAGGAACAAGTCGAAAACCTGCGGTGTCGGCGGCAAGCTGGTCGCGGGTGGGTCGCGGCCGCGCGGTCGCGGTGTCGCGCCGCCGTGTCAACCGGCGGCGTGACGTGCTGAGCCAACAGTCCCGACCACACCTTCCTCGAGAACTCCTCGTGCCGACCTTAGGCCCGCGACCGTGCGGGAAGATCCTGTTGCCGGGCTGCACGCCGGTGATGCCGGGCATGAAGCGGGGGATCGGCGCGGGCTTCGCCCCGGCGTGGTGCCTCTCCGCCCCACGCGCGGGAGGAGGAGGAGAAGGAGGAGGAGGAGGAGCAGGAGGAGGAGGAGGAGCAGGAGGAGGAGAGGGAAAAATTGGGGGGTGACGCCAGAGGACCGCAAGATGGCCCAAGTGGGCCCGAAGATGGCCCAAGACGCCTCCACAACGGTCCCCAGGACGGTTCCCAAAGACGGCGCAAGAGGACCCCGGACCGGCTCACGAGGGCTGGCCCAGAGCCATTAGGAAGCAAAAGCGTTTTGTCCTCCGCAAGGCGGGAGGGGAGGAGGAGGAAGGAAGAGAGGGAGGGATAAGGTGAGGAGGAGGTGGAGGAGGAGGAGGAGGAGGGAGGCGGGAGGAGAGACGAGTAGGAGGAAGGGAGCAGGAGGATCAGGATGAGGAGGCAGAGCGCCGCCGCCGTCGTCGCAGTCGTTCAGAATCTTCGATCCCCGATCATCGGTCTGGAAGATCGACGGGGGAACGTTTCGTGACCAGTTCGGGTATTCCGGGCCTGCAGAAGCTTCCAGAGGCCTCCAGTGGCCTCTAGGGACGTCAGGGGTCAGGATCTACGGCGAGGGCCTTCTGCTCAGCGTGCCGTGGCGGCGGCCCCCGCGACACGCTGCGCCTGGCAAGCTGGTATCGTGCCGCTCTGCTTCGCGGGGCTGGAAGCTGGGAAAAGCTCAGAACGTTGATGCGTGGGGCTTGGGACGTGCTTGGCGCGTGGCGCCGAAGCGCGCTGGGCCAGAACAGGCGGTGCAGCAGTGTCGCACCGCCTGTTCTGACCCAGCGTGTCGCAGCGACTCGGTCAGCGACCTACCGATCGAGCTCTTGCTTAGCGTGTCGCAGCGACACGCTGAGCAAACGTTCCTGGCCGCAGGGGGGCCGCAAAACGCACCATCTCGATCCGCTCTAGGTGCGGCCCCCCTCTCCCTGATTCTCCATCATCCTGCCCGTCCTCTGTTCACCTGCCCCATTTTCCCTAGTCCGCCCTCTCCTCGCCTGTCGTCCTCAACCTCAACTTCTCCTTATCCAACACCCGTTCCTCCTCCTCCTCCTCCTCCTCCTCCTCCTCCTCCTCCTCCTCCTCCCCCTCCTCAACCTCCTCCTCCTCCTCTTCCTCCTCCTCCTCCTCCTCCTCCTCTTCCTCGTCCTCCTCCTCCTCCTCCTCATCATCATCATCCTCCTCCTCCTCCTCCCCCTCCTCTTCCTACTCCCCCTCCCGCTCCTCCTCTCTCCTCCTCCTCCTACTCCTCCTCCTTTTCCTCTCCTCCTCCTCCTTCTCCTCCTTTTCGTCCTCCTCCTCCCTCCTCCTCTCCGCCTCCTCCCTCCTCCTCCTCCTCCTCCTTTTCGTCCTCCTCCTCCTCCCTCCTCCTCCTCCTCCTCCTTCTCCTCCTCCTCCTCCTCCTCCTTCTCCTCCTCCCCCATCCTGCTCAGGCGATCGCGCACCCGGGGCAGGCGACCCAGCACACCAGCTACCGTACCATCGCAATCGCACGGCCCCCACGGTGAGCTCTCCACACCGTACGTTCCTTTATTGCGATGATCACGTTCTTGCGTTGGAATTGCACAGGGCAGTTTTTTTAATACATAGGATGGTTTAAAGTAGAGGGTTTTTGAGGCAATATCAATTTATGCTAAACTTCACGCATCAGTTCAGCGTTGCTTTTAAAACTAAATCCCTGCATTTTGAATACATGATCCGCACGCGGAGCATGTAGCAATTATCCCGGCAAAGCAACACAACAGCGATGTGTAGGAGCATATCTGGAAGCATGCCCCTTAAGATTTGGATGACAATCCAGTTGTAGAATTCTGCTGTTCTCGCAGTCGTAGTCGCATTCGCGATGACAGTCGCAGTGGCAACGCCAGTCGCAGTCACAGCCTCAGCCTCAGCCTGCCTCAGCCTCAGCCTCAGGCCTCAGCCTCAGCCTGCCTCAGCCTCAGCCTCAGCCTGCTTCAGCCTCAGCCTCAGTCTGCCTTCAGCCTCGGCCTCAGCCTCAGCCTGCCTCAGCCTCAGCCTGCATCAGCCTCAGCCTCAGCCTCAGCCTGCCTCAGCATCAGCCTGCCTCAGCCTCAGCCTCAGCCTGCCTCAGCCTCAGCCTCAGCCTGCTTCCTCAGCCTCAGTCTGCCTTCAGCCTCGGCCTCAGCCTCAGCCTGCCTCAGCCTCAGCCTGCATCAGCCTCAGCCTCAGCCTCAGCCTGCCTCAGCATCAGCCTGCCTGCCTCAGCCTCAGCCTGCCTCAGCCTCAGCCTCAGCCTCAGCCTCAGCCTCAGCCTCAGCCTCAGCCTGCCTCAGCTCAGCCTCAGCCTCAGCCAGCCTCAGCCTCAGCCTGCTCAGCCTCAGCCTCAGCCTGCCGTCGGCCTCGCCTCAGCCTCAGCCTGCCTCAGCCTCAGCCTGCCATCAGCCTCAGCCTCAGCCTCAGCCTGCCTCAGCATCAGCCTGCCCTCAGCCTCAGCCTCAGCCTGCCTCAGCCTCAGCCTCAGCCTGCTTCAGCCTCAGCCTCAGTCTGCCTTCAGCCTCGGCCTCAGCCTCAGCCTGCCTCAGCCTCAGCCTGCATCAGCCTCAGCCTCAGCCTCAGCCTGCCTCAGCATCAGCCTGCCTCAGCCTCAGCCTCAGCCTGCCTCAGCCTCAGCCTCAGCCTGCTTCAGCCTCAGCCTCAGTCTGCCTTCAGCCTCGGCCTCAGCCTCAGCCTGCCTCAGCCTCAGCCTGCATCAGCCTCAGCCTCAGCCTCAGCCTGCCTCAGCATCAGCCTGCCTCAGCCTCAGCCTGCCTCAGCCTCAGCCTCAGCCTGCTTCAGCCTCAGCCTCAGTCTGCCTTCAGCCTCGGCCTCAGCCTCAGCCAGCCTCAGCCTGCCTCAGCCTCAGCATCAGCCTGCCTCACCATTCAAACTGTGGCCCTGGAATGGAGTTCTGGGAACTCGAAGAACACGAAGTGGCCTACAGTTGGCTCCGGGCATTCAAAAGCATGCTCAGGAATGGAGTTCTGGGAACTCGAAGACCACGAAATGGCCTACAGTTGGCTTCGGGCATTCAAAAGCATGCTCAGGAATGGAGTTCTGGGAACTCGAAGGCCACGAATTGGCCTACAGTTGGCTCCGGGCATTCAAAATCATGCCCAGGAATGGAGTTCTGGGAACTCGAAGACCACGAAGTGCGTTACTGTTTGCTAAAAAAGGAATCCCCGGCACCCGTCCCCGGATCCCGCCCAGACCCCCCTGGGGAGTCATGACGCTCTCCTTTGACCCTACTCGAAACCTATCAGTCTTCGCTCTTAGGTAAAAACGGCACTCCCTGACTCCTGATCCGCCCTACTTTGGGCGATTTCGAAAGTAGGGCGGAAATTTCCGCCCTACTTTGAAGGCCCCTGTGAGCGTCGATTTCCGCCCTTGAGGCTCCTTTGGCGTCGATTTCCGACACAATTTTAGGTCGGAAAATCATCCAAAGTACGGCGGATCAGGAGCCAGGGCTGTACGTTTGCGGATGAGCTGGGTCTACACGATATCAGTGAAGAGTTTCAGCACGTAGGCCTGATCGCCCTCACAGGCACGGGCGAGCGCGCCTCCCAAGAACAGGCGGCGACACTGTATGCTTGCAGGTTTCACTTCGCCATCCACTCGGGGTATGTGCCGAGCCGCCACTCCAACAAAACTCGTGGCATCGCACTCTTGGTTCGCAAGAAGACCTTCCGCATGAAGCATCTGACAGACACGCCAGCGGCCCCAAAGCAGTGACGAGGGCGGGTTGCATTGCACAGGCCGCGCTCAGGGCGCTTCGATCTGCTCATCCCCCATCACCTACTTTCCCCCTCGCGTCACCTACTTCCCCCCTCGTCCGTCGGCCAGGAGAGAATGTCGTGAGAGTGTGGCCCCTGAGACGCATCGTCGATACCAGCAAACGGCCGATGCTGTGTGCTTGCGGCTGGAGAGAGCGCTGTCGTGGGCGCCTGTGCGCACGAGCCTGCTGTGGGGGTTCGGCCTGAATGACTCGTTCGGATGGAGGTGGAGGGGAGGAGGTCAGGTTCCAGTGGTCTCTCAAGCTCTCGGAAAGTGTTGCAACGGTGAGCAGCACTACGCGAGCGACCGTGTCCTCGAGGTGATGGACAAATATGCGATCAGAGTGGTTTCTACAGATCTCCCGACGGGGCCTACGTATCACGCTTCGGTCTCTGCGTCTTGTATCGACTTCCTCCCGGCCTTCGCGTGGCAGGCCGGGTCTGTGAGGAAGTGCTTGCCATTAGTGAGATCGAACCTTCGGCTCGTAAGCTTGTGCGCAAGCAGGGAGCTCGTGACCACACACCCCTGCTACTTCGGCTAGAATATGTGCTCGAAGTGTCCCATTCGAAGATCGAGAATGCGTCCTATAGGACTTCGACCGCCTCGCGCAGGCCCTTCTGCACGGAAATGGGGCTGGCTGGCTTCGTCGCGGACCTGGGGAGGGCCTTCGAGTACGGACCTGCCTTCCACGAGCTGTGCCTTCGCGCGCCCGCGCCAGACGAGGCTTGGGAGCGTTGGACCGTCGCGGTGCACGCGGTGGCAGAGCGGCATTTCGGGAGGACCACTGCCGTCGACCCACGTGCGCGCAGGTCCGCGGAGGAGAGAGGTCGAGGTCGTGGGCCGAGCGGCGTCGGCTTGGGGAGGCCGGGGGGGTGAGGATGACCGCGCGCGCACGCAGCTCGCGCGGGCATCTCGTCGGCTCCGCGCGCTGCGTCGTGCCCGATTCGAGGTCCTCCTCCTCCTCCTCCTCCTCCTCCTCCTCCTCCTCCTCCTCCTCCTCCTCCTCCTCCTCCCCCTCCTCCTCCCCCTTCTTCCTCCCTCTCCCACTTCCCCGTGCTCCGCGTGCCGCGTCGTGCCCGCTTCGAGGGGGCGACGGGCGAGCCCTCGGCCGAGATCGAGCAGGAGCTGGCATGGGGAGGCGGCGCGCGGAGGCGCGGCGCGGCTCGCCCACCTCCTGGGCGGGCAGGCGCGGCGGCCCGGGGAAGAGAGCAGGCATGGCGTTGCGGAGGAGCTCGTGC